AGAGGAATACGAGGTCAAGTGTATGACCCACTGAGTAAGTCGGGCCCTGGATTACTTGGGTCAAGTCCATGGCCGTCATGGAAGCCATGAACTCCTGCGCCCCATCAGAGCGATCACCGAGCGAAGGTAGGTTGAAATCCCCCAGTATCATAAGCCTGGGGAACTCAACCGCCAGCTCGGCTACGGACTCGAGTAGTGAGGGGACAGCTGTTGCAACACTGTTGGGAGGAAGGTACGTTAGCAACAAGCCCACTTGACTCTCAAGGTCCAACTTCACCAGCAAGGACTCACACCCGACAAGCTCCGGAGCAGGGATCCTAGGAGGAACTAATGACCCTCGGATGATGATAGCCACTCCCCCACCCCTTTTTCTGGGGTCGCGGCTGATGAAGCACCTGAAATCCTTCTGGTCACATTTCCGTGAGGGGGACTCCTCCCTCCGAGCCCAGCCAGGTTTCAGTAATACATGCCAGGTATGCCCCCTCGTCTAATATTAGGTCCCGGATGAGGGGAGCCTTGTGAACCACAGACCTGGCATTTAGCAACAACAGCCTGAGACCAGGGCCCTGACCACTCTCGCCATCTGTCCCTGGAGTGGAACTAGTAGGGCCGGGAGGGATCGCTGTGACGTAGCGGACCCTCTTTCCCCGATAATGGCTAGCCCTGAAGTTCCCGTCGTACCTGCCTCTCCTCATTATGACCATAATGTTCCGGCCCACTCGCGGGCCCCATTTCCCCTCCTGTAGCCTCCGCTCTCCCCAGCAGGCCGTTTATCTCAGTCATTCTAGGACAGGGAGGTAGGCCCAGGCCCTCTGCCACTTCTGCAATAGCACTCAGTGGAGGAGGCACCTGGCTACACTCCCAGTCCTATCATACATAAGCAATCATTCACTCATACAGTCCCCACGTAAATCAAATTTAAAATTACAGGTTACAATGATAATAAAATAAAAGTGGGTACAGACATCAACCATCCATCACTTACATATCACATACATAACCCATACAGAAAGAGAAAAAATTGCACAGCTGTTAAAATGTGCAGAGTTCACATAGAGTTGTGGTAGGGTAGTAGAACGGGGTGAAAATCCAGGTGGCAGACATCGGGCTCCTGAGATGGTGGAGGGCGTTGATAATCGTGGCCCGGGGGCAAGATTGCAAAAACTGGGAGTCCAAGGGTCCAGGTCTATGAGCGCTGGTAGGAGGAACCAGATGGTAAAGGTGGCAAGGAGGGAAAGCCCTGTCCAGTTCCAGAAGGCTCTCCCTGGCCACAAAAGGAGGCAGAAAAGGGAGGCCTCGCAGGTTCCAAGGGCTCTCCCAGATGCAATAAGCTGGAGTAAAAGGTGTTGTAGATCATAAAGTACTGCAGGGTGGGAGGGGGAGGCATGTGAAGGTTCACAAAGGATGCAGCGATGGCTACACGCCGAGTGCTCGCACGTCTTCAGCGCCATCCGAGCCAATCACACTCTCGTTAACCAATATTAATAACGCAGTCTAGGAAGTTCTCTCCTGTTTTCAAAGCGCCAGTCCTCAAAGCACTAGTTCCCACAGGCCACCCAAGGCCCTTAAGGTCTCCAGAATAAAGCCAAAAACGCTGATAAGGCCGGTAAGGTTGAAAACGCCACAGCGTTGGCGAGAGGCCAGGCCAAGCGGGGGGGGGGGCACCGGAGGGCTGTGGCGGCGATGGACAGCCAGCCGTCCGATACATCCAACTCTAATAACAGTCTGGATCGGAACCTCTTCTCCGGGTCGATGGTAATCAAAAAAAACCCCAAAGGATTACCACGATGAGCGGGTGGGGTCAGGAATCAATGTAACCACTGGCCTCATTAAAGAAAGCGCCGTCGTTGTCTATGGTTCATGCAGCGAGTTGGGGTGCGGGGGGGGGGTAGCATTTGAATGGGCTCCAGGAAATGAACTACAGTTTTGGAGTGGAGAAGGAGTGGCGATTTACTATTGTATGGCCTCCTAAACATGAATAGATAAAAAGGCAATGAGGATTTTTGTAAACCATCTTCTCGTTCCCTAACTACTTTTGAATATCGTTCCATGCTGCTTGAACATTTCAACAAACAAAAAGAACTACATATTTCTTGTCTAATGTTACAATAATGCTGAACACGTTTTACTTCCTCAATATTGTGCCTGTTGTAGCACCTCCACCATTACAATTGTGATTTGGGCATCTGGCAACTGACTAGGATCTATAATGGGTGTAGCATCCTAGGATCACATGATTGCCATTTAGGGCCTTCTCTGCCAGCTTCCCACAAGCAAAGTCAATGGGGAAACAGCAGGAAAGCTAGCAAGTTGCTTCTGTTCCCCTTCTTTTTCTCTTGAGGAACCCAGCTATGGAGCATGAGATCCCTGCCTGCACTTGCACAGTTACATCTCACCTCCAGCTGTGTTTGCCCCAGGCCACAGTATCTGTCCCCTGTGTATTCACTCCATAGCACTTATCCACCACCATCCTACTTGCAAATTGCCTAAGATGATTGTGACTTGCAACTTCCTGCTGGTTTCCCCATTAACTTTGCTTGTTGGAAGGCAACAGGAAATCTTAAGACATGGTTATGTGACATCCTCACTTAACTACCTATTATCCTCACTTAATGATGGCAGAGAAGACTGCCAGGATCACATGATATCCCCCTTTATGACTGCATCTTGCCCCAATTATTGACACTGTGAAATCTATTACCCTTTGAGTGGGAAACATAATTTGGCACCCCTTTGCCTCCAAATAGAGATGTTTACTATTGAGAAATCCTCTATTCACTTCATCTGGGCAGCCACGACAACATTTACATGCAAAGATCCATGTTACTACTAAAATTTGTTTTGGAGGCTTTTTCACAGTCGTCAGTAAGTTGTCAAGACAGACCAAACATGAACACAAAGTCATGAATTACTAAAATTTAATAAAAACAACTTTTGCTATAGTTTTCAGTACCAGAATCTGCTAGTTTGAATGTAGCTCCCTTCCTGCTCTTTATCTTCAAGAAAATCAGGGAGGATAAAATCTGAATAAAATTCTCCTCTTCCAAGGTTATTTTTATTTCTGAAGTTCCTCATCATTCACATACTGGAACTTTCTCCAAAAACATAGCTGTGGTTCTTCCCGGCAAGATACTTAACTTGGATCTTTGCTTGCTTGCAATCTGACTCGTATGCATTTGGTCAGCAAACTTTTTACCTGCAGCGGCTGTTGTTCTGTCTGCTGTCAGATGCTCTTGCTATTTTACGGGAAACATTTAATTTGTAAATGAAATTATCTGCAGAGCTCTAGTGGGACATTTTAATTGGCAGTAATAAGAAAGATAGTTCTGCCAAAACTCAGCTGAGTCGATGGCCTGTATCTAATTATAACTTGCCATAGTACCATGTCCTGCTGTATATCTGTTTTGAAAGGTAAATGACATAATTGATGCAAAAACTCTGGAAAAGATGATATACTGATAGTAAAAAATAAAAACAGGGCTTGAATTCCAGGAGACCCTTTTGGGCAGTTTCCAAGTGATTTTTTTTTCATCTGCAGGCTTCCCAGTTTATTACAAGAGCTCACAGAACATCTAGATGATTTTGTAATCCTTCAACCTATATTTTGTAATCCTTAGCAACTTACATTTTATCAGCCATTGTTTGTTTCCTTGCTTCCTTCTATGGAATCCACTTTGGCAGAAAAACCTGGAAGAGAAGTGGAAAATAAAAGGCATAACACCTACACTTCACTCCCCTGTACTTTATTTCTTTTATTTTCTCTTTTTAAATCCCACCTTTATTACTTTATAAGTAAGTCTTCTTAAGTGTGCTATGAGTAGAAAAATAGGTACAAATGGAAATAACCAATACACACAATATGTCAATTAAAAAAGGCAGCTTTACTTGGAGCAGCTTACATCTAATGATAATTTTCGTTAACACCATCAGACAAGAACTTCTTCCTATTCCAGGTCTTTGGGAAGGACTCAGTAAGTGGATAAAATGGCAAGTCTAAATACGTGGCTGACAGTGCAGTGAACTGTAATAATTTTTTTTAATAGCATTTAAATTATAATAAATAATTTATATGTCATGTCTGCCTTATCTTTTCTCTTAGGTCTTATGGAAAATTACGCTGCACTTCCTACTGTTACATTGACTCTACAGATTGTCGCTATTTTACATGAAAAGTGAGTGGTGAGAAAGGAGTGACCTATATATGACATGCATGCATCAGGTGCTACATTAGTATCATCAAACCAAGACTGGACGATAGAGAAACAATCAATGCTGCAACAACCATTGTCATGTTGCCATGATGATTGGAAAGAAGTGTTAATTGCCTGATCACAGTGGAAGAAAATCGGACCATCCTTTCCTGTCTTAATAGAAAACATCCAGTGACAGTAAGACTCAAGATTTGCCTTTTTCATGATTGGCTGAAGGAATTTTCCTGTGTATCAAGAACAAAAACAAACCAAAGGAACACTATATTTAACTTCATACTTTAGGTTATTAAAATACAATAATACCTCAATTTAGCACTGTTAGTTCTTCAAATAAGCTCTTCAGGTTTTCTTAAGACTTTTCCAGGATAAAAGCAGATCTGTTGCCAGTGTTTATAAGGAGTCTTTTGTTTTTGTTTTTTAATTATTATTATTATTACAATGTGAAATTTCTCCATGCTTTAGCTGCATGAATTACGTGAATTACATGCAAATACTTTATGTTTGTTGATTTGGGCAATTTAAGCTGCAGCCCAATGCCCTCTAATGTTGTATTAAATGTCACTGAACTCATTCTGACTTAACTTCTGTGCAGATGTGCCCAAATAAGAGCTAAAGAGAAATAGACTATTTAGTTTTAGTTTAAAACAAAATAAATTAAAACAAGAGAGATGCAATGAGTTTAAATCATATTTGCTGACAGTTTAAATGAGACAATTAGGAAGGAACCACATTTGCTGGCTAATAACACCACTGAAATAGATAGACACTGTTCAGAATCCTACGAATAGGATCAGTTTCTGATGCTGAAAGAAATAATGCCTTGAGCTCATATTCCAGTCAGCTAGAGCCAACATGGCCAATAGATGAGTAATGATGTAAAGTACCGTTCAGCGACTTCTGGAAGACTGCAGCACATTGTTTTTAAAAACTAAGGACTCCTATGCAAGTTTATACAGATGCCTGTTTCATGTCCAGTGGGTCTAAACATTTAGGAACCTGGTCAGGGTTGTAGTCAGATTTTCTGCATCTCCAGATCAGTAGCTCATATGGAGCAAGCTAGTGAATATACTCTTTCATGCATTGTATTCATGAAAATATTTGGAAATAAGAAGATCCTAACTGAATTCATTTAAAATATACACTTACATTTACCACTGCATGGAAGACTGCGTTTGAAAAGCTGAGTTGTATTAATAATTGTTGAGAAACTTTCAATCAAACTTTAATTCTGGTTTACTTGCCAGGAAATGTTAACTAGTTGCTCACTTTTATTGATTTCTAGTCTGATAATTGCTTTCCAGTCTCAGCTTTGTATAACATTATATATGATTGTGTATATATTCCTATTTGTACAGCTTAGTCTAAATGCTGTATAGATTTTATATGTATATAAATGGATTTTCTTTTCCTATTTTCTAGAAAAAAAATATCAGCATTCAGAATACTATTTACTTTATAGCAGACATTAAAAAGGAAGTTTTACATTGGAAATATGCTAAGATACAAATTGAAACTTTAAATGCAGGTAGATTAATTTTTCATTTGGTGAAATATTAGTTCAAATTAAAAGAATTAAGACAGACCACTCTTTTCCTGCTATTATTGATCCAAAATATATGTTTGAAATGCATGAAACTTGTAAAACATTGGCTACTGTTATATTCTGCTTTTTCTGTAGATATTAAATACAGAGGATAGCACACAATTATAATAAAATTAATCTAATAATTATTCATCCTTTTTACCATAGATATGTAGATTATTTTAAGTCTGCATGTGTATAGTATTGTGAAAATATTTTTTTAAATAAAAACCATTCCATTATTCAGATTGGTGCTCCTTTATCTGAATTTTTTGTATTGATTTCCTGCAATCTGGAATTTTATCAGACGTGGTCAGTTACAGCTTGTTATGCAGAATCACCTTCTGGCTATACACACTGTACTTCAACAACTCTGGAAAATTCTACGTGACAGAAGACTTGTTTATATTATAGTAAAACTTCTGGGCACAATCCCATGAATGTAAGGTGTGCCAAGGTCACTTAGGTTCTGTGATACAACTTTTCAGATGCTTTTCAATTGTGTGCTCAAGTTGCATTCAAGCAGGATTCAGGGTGCCAAATCTACCGTGAATTTGCCCAACAGCTATAATATTCCATGGTTGTTCCTAGTGACTGTCATATTCTCAGGGGTGTGTGTGCGTGCTCAGAAGGCTATATTTGTACTATAATTTCTCCTTTCTTCATGGTTTAATCACATGTCCATGACTGTATTTTAAATCCATTCTCTGAACCTGTTCCAATATGTCTGAATCATTTTAAAGAATTGGGCTATTCACTATTCAAGAAGAGGTCTGATTAGTGCAGAATACAAAGAAATTCTTTCTTCTTCTGATTTGGAAACAATCTCCATTTGAGTAAGACTGATTTATCTTCATTCAAGGATCAGTTCCAATTCAAGGCCTTGTATTCTTGTTAAGATGATGTAAATTTGGAGAAAGCATAATTAATCATTGGCAAGAATATGTTGAAGATTTTCAAGCTGACTTGAAAACTTTTGCTTCAATGTAAAGACATTCCAAGAAGGCATTTCATTTAGAACAAAAGTCTATAAAACTCTCATTTTATGATGCTACTGGCCAGAAGATGAAATGGAAAAAGTAACTTTCAGTGTAAAATCTCTATAGTGTCATCAGTTTTGAATTGTGGATATGTATCTAAAATCTACTAAGAAATCCCATTATTTATTTGGCATAGGAAAAAAAGTCACTCTGGAAGGAAGGCTACAGATTTAAAAATATAAATGCTCCCCCTCCCATTCCAGCCGTTTCATTTCAAAGTTTCATTTATTATTGCATTTATCTATGTATTATCATTAGTGAACTCCAGCAGTCTTCTCTTTCCCCATTTCTCATTTCTCTGTTGCTGTTTGGCAAAACAAGTTCTAAGAGCTGCAGCAAAAAGTCTTGTGGTATGTTTTGATTGCATTTGTGATCTCTGAGTCAGTTAAGACTGATGTCAATTAGTTCAATAAACAAGATGGTCAGTAACTGGGATTGTATTAAGGGAATGCATTCCTACTGGAAATTACACCATGGATTTTTAAAATTAAAGAACCAAGATTTTTTTTTAAAAGGATGCTATTTATGCACATACTCTTCCGCTGATATTTTTATGTTTTTAAGTGTTTGGCCCCATGGGTAGGTTTATTTTAGCTTGATTTTCAAGAGGTATAAGCAGAATAGGAATTAATGAAGTGTATATTACATCAATGCTTTCTACTTTATTTCCAGACACATAATTGTATTTTGGGCATTGACAACTAGATCTCCTTACAATCAATTGCAGCATTTTGCAGTCATGTGACTGCAATTTTTGATATCTTAACTGGTTTGAGATTTTCCGCAGGCAAAGCATGTGATTTAATTTTGCTCTCTATTATTTGAAAAAACTTAATATGTATTTACAACTCTAATGCCCTTGAAAAGAAGCAGATCAAGAACAATAAATGCAACAAAAAACATGGTGAACTTTCTAGGACCTATAAGAATATCTGACAGTGTATGTATGCTTTTTCTATGGAGTCCCAAAACTACAGAACATACAAAAAAGCACTAACACCCGAGCACCTACATTACTCTCATGCTACTTTTTAGTATAATGCTACATTTTTGAAGGAATGGCGTGATGCTTTCCTGCTCTTCAGATTCCACTTGCAGTGAGTGTTTTTAGATGACTACTTACATTTGATCTGGGAATCTGTTCCCATGCTACTTGCTCTATTAAAGAAATATGGTCTTTTCTTTTTGGAATCCTCAAAGTTATCAGTTATCTGTTTGATCCCTGGACAGTCTACTACAACTTATCAGTTCAAGAAAGCAGTCTGTTTTCTATGGATATCAACTGTGGCAAGAGGGAAATTGTTATTTTTATTTATTACTTTTATTTAAATAATTAATATGGCCGCTCACAGTGACACACAGTCATTTTGGACTGCTTGAATAGATTGACATGCTAAGTAGCCTATAGACCTGAGTTTAGAACTACAAAACTACTGTTTTTCCACAAAAATAAGACAGGGTCATTTTCTTTTGACACCCCTCCCCAAATAAGCACTTGGCCTTATTTTTTGGGGAGGACTTATTATTTTTGAGATGCAGGAGACAGTGACGTGGTCACCTTATGGCTGCTGCTGTGTTGCAATATTTTGGGGGAGGTCTTATTTTCAGGGAAATGGTATAAAATAGAGAGATCCTGTGAGAGTAGAACTTTGAATGTCAGCATACATCTGAATTGAAAGAAAAAAATAATTGATCCAAATGTATTTAAACTTGCAGTGTAAAGCTTGGGAAATGGAAGGCTTGGTGATCTGGAAACCCTCAACTGGGAAAATATTTGCATCCAACTTTCCTTGTCATGGAGACACACAATCACTGTGATGGAAGGTTTATTTTCATTTGCTGTCTGCCTGCTCTTGGCAAGAACAAGAGGTTAAATTAGAAATGTCATTCAACTGAATAAATGCAAACTGGACAATATCCTATTAGCGTATGGAATAACAAAAAACACAGCTGGAAGATGTTTAATAAATATTTATATAATTAAAAACATGCACAAAGGTTTAAAAAGCCAGGGTTTCACCCAAAACCATCCCATTTAGAGTCTACTAAGAAGGTTAATTGCAAATTATATAGTACCAATTCACTGTGAGAAAACAAATATAATAAAACTCTATAGGGTTGAAAGAGGGGACATCTGGAAAATCCAAAGCCTATTTTGAACACCCCAAAACTCCTTGGGAAACAGTTTTTGCTCATCCTACGTTCCAGAAAAGCTTGAACTACAATGAAGGAAAATGCTCACAGCAGTCAGAAAAGAGATCTGGAATTCCACAGCTCCTATGTGGGAGACCCTGTAAAGTGACACAATCTCTTTACAGGGTAACCACTTCATTTTCCCCATTAACCATAAAATGGCTGTGATCAACTGAAACATTAATGCAACAGGTGATATAAAGAACAGGTCAATATGGAAACAAACAAAATCTCTGTATGTTATCAAAGACTGCCTCTTCTAATTCCAGCCTGCCATAACTTTAAACTCATCAGACATGTCTTATGTATCCTGCTGGTGAGCACATCATCATTTAACCAGAAAGGTGGCTACATTAACCTAGCTTCTTGTGAAACCCCAATTGGTTTCTTTAAATTATAGTTCAGGGCATTGTGTAAAAATATGGAGTTGGATAAAATACAGTTCAGTTAATCAGAGGTAAATGCATCATGCCAATTCAGCCTACGTAATAAAGCCAGATGTGTGACTGTGGGCTCTCTCGCTCTCTCTCAGTCCTAGGAAGCAGGCAATCACAAACCACTTCCAAAAAAAAAAAACTTGTCAAAGAAACTGCAGGGACTTGAAAATATTATTATCATCCCACAAAAAAAAGGAGGAAGGAAGGGAGGGAATCTTCTTTGGAAGAGTTTCCCATCTGGAAAACATAATTCTTTTAATAGTAATTTTAGTAATAATTACAATTATAACTGTTAAAAAAAATACAAACTAAAGGGAAAAAGAAAAAAGGTTGAGATAAGAGAAAAATAAATAAATAAATAAATAAAATAGCTAAAATTCAGAAGGCAGCAATAATCAGCAATGAAGCTGAAGAAACAGCCTGTCACTTTAAATTCACTTTCAAATCAGTCTCAATCTTGCCAGATAAAAGTTGTTCCTAACACACTCTATCTGTATAGACAGATATAGTAGTCTTAAATTTTACTTCTGGGTTCCTTGTTCAAAAACATCCTTTGATATCTCCAATGTTAAAATATTGTTCTTCATTCTATAATTGTAAGTTCAGTTTGAGTGAATTTACAATTATAATCTTTAGTTCTCCTCTAGTTCCCAATTTGTGCAAACCATTAGAAGGATTCTTTACAATTAATACCCAAGTCTTATTTCAAATTTAACTGGACCCTTGGTCCATTTGTAACTTTCCACAAACAAAGTTTGAATTATCCTTTTGCTATTTATTCCAAAAAAGGTTTTTTTTTAAAAAAAAAATCTTAAACTTGTAATTAAAAGGTTTTTTTTTGGCTAGGGATTGAAAATAACTGTAAAATTTGATAGAAAGTTTTCTATCTACCAGATTTTAGCTGAATAACAGAAAAACAGTCAATAAGCAATTTCCAAACGAGATTAGAAAAGGAAGCATACACACATATTATCCTTTCAAAGATGTCATGCAATTTCCCATGAAACAGAATCTGGTGCCACATTGGATTATTTGGTCAAAAACAATTTGTTCAGGAACTTTAAAAGTTAAACTTTTTAATGTATGTATCTGTTGTATGCAAAGCCCA